AAAAAAAAAAAAAAAAAAAAAAAAAAAAAAAAAAAAAAAAGAAGTTACCTTCTTGATGGTCTCCAGCATGGAGCGCCCTCCCTGCCAGGGCTTGGAGTTCTTTCGGATGCATGACAAACTTGCCATGCTGTGCCACTTTCGGTCTTCCAGCTTCTTATGAAAAGCATTAGCCAACAGGAGCACCGTATCATATATGTAAAGGTTTGAAATCTGAAAAGACATTAAACAGTGATCATTACAATCATTGACGCTAGTTGTCAGGAATAAGGAGAAATTTGTCTGCTCCGCTGCTTCTGTTCATGTCATAGACAGCTGGTTTACTGGCTTATTTATTTAGCTAAAGGTTTCTTTTTTCATTTCTTGGGCAATTTTACCATTGAGAATGAAGTCTTGTCTGACTGTATGCTTCAATTCCTTTTCAACTTATTTAGGTGTGAAAGAAAATATAAAAAAGAAGTTTCGGCAGAGGCAAGGCTGTTAGTGTCAGACCTTAGAAAATCACTGGCCCTTATTTCTTTCTGAGGAGGTAAGGATCTGTGGGTGTAAGATTGGAAGGGCAAACCGAATAATACGTTTTCTGAATATGTCAAGTTTTTGCATTTTCGTTATTCAGATGTAGAAATACCAACTCGATCTTACATATGAAATGAGTGTCATAGGTGCAAAAAAAGGAAGCGACCATCTGTGTGTATGTTTGTATCTATAGAAATTCCATAATGAAAAAATAAAAAAAGAACCATTCATAAATATCACAATGATCAAGGTTCCATACAAAATTATATAAGTATACACATACATTGCAATTCATTGATATGACAAATCTACTGTTTGTGAATGTGTGTTTACATTAATGATTTCTTCTTCTAAGCTAACCATTATATTATTTTTTTTCTACATAAATTGAAAAATAGATTATGCCAATTTTTGCTGAGGTTTATTGTTCTCTTACAATTGTGTCCTGCCAGACCACGACCCATATTGTCAATTAATAATCAAATGTGTTAATTTTTCAAAGAAATTAGAAACTATCCAGAAAAGATGAATATCAAAAAGGATCCTAGGTCAATAAAACCTGTTAAAGGCTACATTATTACCTCTCAGAAGGAAACCCCCAATATCAAATTAAAAAAAGAGAAATCAATGTAGTGATAAAAATTAATTCCATCTTAAAGCATTTACATTTTCTTGGGTTTTTAAAAGTGTCTTGTCACAGTTTTTCTTTAAAACAAAGGGGAGAGAGGATGTTGATTTTTCTCTGGCTATAATTAATAATGAAGAAAACTTATGAAATTGTCTGCTCACATCACAGAATGGTACTAAGTTTCAACTACTGGGATAATTCTCATACAAGTGTCCATTCTCCTTTGAGGCTCATGCTCTCTCCTATGCCACACTTTATTGCTACTTTCTGCCATCCTCTGCTGACCTGTTGGTCACTCTTTATTCATGAGGTATTTAACTCCTCCTTCCCAAACTCTCTCTCTCAGTATTTAAAAAGGTCACTTCAATTTCTACACAGATGATCTTCACTTCTACTCTGGCCACAATCAACACAAATGACTATTCAGTAGACACAAATATATATCACTCTAAAATCTTAAACTCCAGTATCCCACATCTGACCAATCATTTCTCTTTACCTTAGTGTCACTACACTTTTTCTCTTATATCACTGAACCTCCAGTACCCATCTCTTCTACATGACAACCTTCCAATATTTGACACCATCTGCTGCTTGCCCTGAAATATCCTTCAGTTGTTCATTTCCTCGTATATAGTTTCTAGGCTGCTCATCATCTCAGTTCTCTTCCTCAGTCCTCTTGTTTTTCAATGTTTCTGTTAAAAGTTTAGTAGACAGAACTGACACATTTTTGCAGATGTGATCTAAGAGTGAGTAGTGCAAGATATTATCTCTAGATCCTAGCAAAAAGCTTCTGACATAGGGACCAGGATTATATTAAAATGTTGGTGCAAATATGACTTGTGCTATGCTCATACTCAATTTGCCTTCAACATAATGGCTTTGAACAGCTGTCAAACCAGGACTTTTCCATCTAGACTTTGCATAATTGATTTGGATTCTATACTTTATCTCTGTGAAATTTCAACTTTTAGGCTTATTGTTCAGTTGATATAAACAATGTGGATCTTGATTATCTAATACAACATAAATTTTCTCCCCTAGTTATATGTCATTTATAAATGTGATAAGCATGACTTATTCATTTGCATTCATGCAATGACAAACATTTTGAAAATATTTGGTCCAAGGACAGAATCTTGTGAATGACCATAGAAATTTCTTTGCATTTCAAGAGTGGAATATTTGTCACTGAACTTTGAATATCTGTCTGGTTTCACATGCCTAAAACTAAGGATAAAAGAACCCCTGGTGACAGGCTGCAGATACCAGGAAGTACTCAAAGCTGTTGAATATATCTATCTAAGGCATATTCTGGCATGTCAATATTGCTTGAAAATTTGATTGGTATATCTAGGTATATAAATTCCCCTTGAAGATCTGGAGGAAAAACTACTAAACAGCTTAACTGGCACATTATTTGAAGTGCCACTTTTTATTTGATAGAAGCTCATATATTATGACTTTTAAAGGTAGTAACGAGGCTTTAAAATATTTTCAACTTTTTTTTTTTTTTTTTCCTATCTGAGGGCCAAAGTGTTTATTATCTTCTGCCTTTAGAAGCTCTTTGGCAAAAATGTTTGAGTGGCATTAATCTATCTAGACTTTCCAATGTCTTTCCTTAGGATTTCATAATAAAATTTGTCAATCACCATATTAAAATCAACATACAATAATAGCTTTATTATAATATTCTTCCAATGTAAAAAAATTATTAATAAGGGCTTAGTTTGACAGTGCTCATTCTTAAGGAAGCCCTACTGTCTTATTTGAAGTACTTCAAAGCATTTATTCGATAATATACAGGTTGAGCATCTCTAATACAAAATCCAAATGCTCCAATATCTGAAACTTTTTGAAAACATGATTTCACAAATGGAAAATTCCACGCCTGACCTCATGTAATGGGCCATGTATTTTATGCACAAAATTAATAAAAATATTGCATAAAATTACCTTTAAGCTATGTGTATAAAGTGTATATAAAACATAAATGAATTTTGTGTTTAGATTTGGGTCCCATCGCCAATATGCAAATATTCCAAAATAAAAAAATAAAAAATCCATAATCCAAAATATTTCTGGTCCAAAGCATTTCAGATAAGGGATACTCATGCTCAAGATGTATTCTACAGTTTATATAAATGTTAACATTTAATGTACTAAACTCCAATTATCAGAATTTTTTCTCCTCCCTTTTGAGAATTGAGAAAATATACCAATCTCTTGTGCATTGGTACTCTTCGCAAGTATTTCTCTAGTACTTTTAAATTATACTGTAATCCCATTTGCTGGTGTATTGACCCTGAGCAATTATTTGTCAGGCCTTATTCAAGTCAGTTAGGACACACTCACTATCTCCAAACCCCTGTTCCTTGTAAACCAGTGGTTTACTTTCCATTTAATGAATTTTACTCTAACCTTTCCAATTTGGAGACAGTATTTCTTAGAGAAAACAAACAAAAGGATTTGGATGTTTCTGTTTTCTCTCCATTAGCAGCCACTAACAATAGTTTCACCAAACAGTAAATGGATCACTTCCTTCTTGTTTCTTGTATTGCTAAAACTGTTTTCTAGCTCAGAGGTTTTCTTTAAAATCAATTTTGCAACTTAAGCTACTCCTAAATTTTAGTCTTTCTGGCACTAATTATAAAGACTGTAAAAGTTTTTTTACTTCCCTTTCTATGTACATTACAATATGTGACAGCCCAGGTATTTCTACACAGGCCTATTGTATCCTCTTCTCCTATCCTCATATTAATTAATGTGATTTTGTAGTTGGGTTTCTATTTTTAGAACTAATTTGAGTCATATTTGCATATGTTTATTTTTTCTAAGTTTTACTTAATTGTACCCTTCTAAATTCTAAGGTATATGTCTGTGTTCATATTTACCTGCATTATTTTTATAGACTCCTACTTGACAAGGTTACTTCTCCTAGGGAACTCCCCTACTCCCAAATTATCAGTCAGTGGTATCTTGTTGATCAGAATTTAATCTAAAGTAGCATTTCATTTTATTACTTCCTCTAACTTCAGTCAGAAAAAAATGTTATTGAGGCAAAGCTGCATATCAAATGCCTGCTTTTAGTGGAGATGTGTATCAAATTCTCTGCTTTTAGTGGAACATTTTAAATTCAAGAGCCCTGCATTCAGACTCTTAATTATACAAATCTTCACATATAAAAGTTCCTGTCAGTTTTCCTTTTACATATTAAATATTTAATCAAATTCTATCACACATAAGAAGGAAGTTAATATGTAACAAATCCTCAAAGAAAAAGTAATTGCCCTGTTTTCTTCCATCTGTGGATTTGAGGGGTAAGACGAAGGTTAGGGAGGGGTTGGTGCTTTCTGTACATTCTCAGTGAATCGTATAAGGTATAAAGATAAATAAAATATTTGCTCCCTGATTTCAAGGACCTCATTAATTGACATGGAAGAATTAAACTGTTAGGTGAATGTGCTTTAAAATATTTTCTGCTTTCCCTAAATGACACAGTTCATTCTCTTAAGTTTGTCCTTTATTCCTTTCTCATTTTGACAGAAACAGCCTTTAATATTTCATATTTTTCTAAATCAAAATTCTTTCATGTTTTTCTCCATTTAGAATTCTATCATTTTCATATCAAGTATACTCCTACTCGTGACCAGTTAATATGCAAAGATGGTGATGATAAGCATATCAATAAGAGTCACACTAACATTTAAACAGGCCTTGTTAAGGCTTCACAGTGGCTTACTTTGACTATTGCCTTCTTGACTACATACAAATCTACTAATATTCACAAAGGTGCCAAGCACTGTGGTAGGAAAGATGAAGGAAATGACAGAGAAGTACATGATGGGATTTTGTGATGCCAGGTCCTGGAAGTGACCTATTCTAAAGGAGCTTAAAATCCAACGGGGAACAGAAAATTCTATGGGTAATGACTCTGAAGCCATACTGCTCATTACAGTGCTACCAAGTCTGAGGAAATGGTTGGATAAATGGTAATTCATCTAAAAAACCCTCAAATGTTACTAAGAAGAAGGAGGCTGTGGGGTTATTTTTCAAAAGGAGAAGTAGT